CTGATAAGAAAAATTTTATTTTTAATCATATAGTTTCAATGAAAATTAATTATTTTTGTTTTTTTTGAAAGTAAAAATTGGGGCATTTTCAGTAAAAGTTTCATTCAAAAATTTTTTTGTATTAAAACATTTTTTTTTTGAATTCTATATGAAAAATAAGTAAATGCGTGTTTTTTTATTTTTTTATTTGATCAAAATTATAAAACTTATGATTTTTTTAAATTTAACATCTTCGGAAGCAAAGGATTTTTGAAACACTTTTAACTCCGTTATACCAAAAGATAAAAAATAATGAAATATATGAAAATGACTTGTTTTTTCTTGAATATTTTAAATATGTATTAAAAAATAACTTTAATAAAGCGAAAACATTAAATAAATTGAAATTTCGTCTAACATGTGACTTTTCTCAAAAGCGAAGTAATTAATTTTCGATTTTTTTCTTTCATTACAACCACCGATAAATAAAGAAATTTTTCCCACTTATGCCAAAGTGGTGTTCTTTAGGGTTCAAATTATATTTAAAATTATATCAGTCGTTGCACAGATTTTACAGAAGGAAATTGAGAAATTAACCACAAAACATTCGTTTTCTTTTGTTTTTGAAGGTTACATTTTGAAAAAGTGTAAAAATCGAATAAAACTCTGTGCAACTACTGTCATAATTTTAAATATAATTTGAACCCTAAAGAACACCACTTTGGCATAAGTGGGAAAAATTTCTATATCTATTAGTGATTGTAATGGAAGAAAAAAATCAAAAATCAATTACTTCGCTTTTGAGAAAAGTCACATGTTAGACGAAATTTCAATTTATTTAATGTTTTCGCTTTATTAAAGTTATTTTTTAATATAGGGTAAGTGCGGGTATAGTCGGACAGTACTAGTAGTCGGACACTTTCGTGTTTTTTGACAAATAAATAATAATGCATTGTGATAATTGCTTTAAAAAGTATACTAGACGAATGTGTGAAGTTTATATTTTATTAAAATAGTGTTATTTTCGAAAATAATTAAACAAGAAATATTTTATTTAATGCTTTAAAAATCATGGTGTCCGACTATAGATACAACCATTTTCGAGTAGCGCGATGAGTGGCACAAAGTTTTGTTGACAATTAATCATAAATATTAAAACTTATAGGGTTTAAATATTATATTAATAACTTCTAATATGCTTTAATTCAATTTTCCAGCTATAGAAACAAGGGGAAAAAGTGTCCGACTACTAAAGCATTCGTAATTTTTTATTAAAATGTTTATATTTTATTAAATACTCAACTATTTTTAACAAATTTATATGATTTTTAATCCTGAAGAACTCCTTTAATTAATAATGTGCTTATAAACACAGTAGATATTTGCTATTTCAAGAAAAAAAGCATAATTTAAGATTGTATCCTTAAGTGTCCGACTACTAGTGCATTTACCCTATATTTGAAATATTCAAGAAAAAACAAGTCATTTTTATATATTACATTATTTTTTATCTTTTGGTATAACGGAGTTAAAAGTGTTTCAAAAATCCTTTGCTTCCGAAGATGTTAAATTTAAAAAAATCATAAGTTTTATAATTTTGATCAAATAAAAAAATAAAAAAACACGCATTTACTTATTTTTCATATAGAATTCAAAAAAAAAAAAATGTTTTAATACAAAAAAATTTTTGAGTGAAACTTTTACTGAAAATGACCCAAATATTCTTTTATTAAAATTTTGAAAAAATTTAGTTTGATATTTATATTATTAACAAAGAAGTTAATCACAATTTTCATAATGTTCACAATAATAATATAACATTATAATTAGATATAAAACAAACAAAAACTCCAAGCAAAAAAAAGAGATTATCATTTTTGAGAAAAGTGGGGAAAAATTCCCAAAAATAATGTTATTCGCAGTTTTTGAAAATTTCTACCTGGTAAATCCGACCTGCTAGAAACTTGTCATAGAAGTTAAATAGGGTTTCTGGGGTCGCTGAATACGAATCCGAGGTCAGATTTGCAAATTTTTCAGAAATTCAAAATGGCGGATCCAATATGGCGGACGAATTTTTAAAAATTAAACGGATTTACTTAAAACTTGTTACTCGGGGGTTTTTGGGGTCGCTGATTACGAATCTGCTATTAGTTTTCAGAAATTCAAAATGGCGGATCCAATATGGCAGACAAATTTTAACAAATTTAACGGATTCACTTAAAACTTGTTACTCGGGGGTTATCGGGGTCGTTGTTAACGAATCTGGTATAAGTTTTAAAAAATTTAAAATAGGGTATCTAATATGGCCATATTGAATCCGCCATTTTGAATTCTGAAAATCCGACTTCAGATTCGTAATCAGCGACTCCGATAACCCCCCGAGTAACAAGTTTCAAGTGAATCCGTTAAATTTTTTTAAATTCTTCCGCCATTTTGAATTTTTGAAAACTAATAGCGGATTCGTAATCAGCGACTTTAAAAACCCCTGAGTAACAAGTTTCAAGCAAATCTGATGGGTTTTTATATTTGCTTGAAACTTGTTACTCAGGGGTCTAAAATGATTTTTTTAACAGTTGGCAAGCATAAAAAATGACTCACACTCTCCATAAATACTCTGGGGTTTTCGGGATCGCTGATTACAAATATGATGTCAAAATTAAAAATTTGTGGTTAGATTTATAAGCAACGACCCGACAACCTTCGAGTAACGAGTTTTAGGCAATTTTAATCGATTTTTATCAAGTAGTCCGTCCTACTGTACCCGACATTTTAAATTTTGAAAATATGACAACATATTCGTAATCAGTGACCCACAAAATCCCTGAGTAACAAATTTTAACCCTTTCAGTCCCAGTGGTCGATATATCGACCACCTTTTATGCCACCGATTTTTTTAACATAACTTAAAGGAAAACTTTAAATAATTACATATTTCTTATTTTTATGTTTCTACAAATAAGATTTAGTAGTTTTTTAACAAATTAATCTATATTATTTATGTTTTTTGTTATTAACAAACTTATACACGGCAACGCATTATTTCACGTTAAACTTGACTGTTATAAAATTAAATCAGTAACACATACTTTAAATTATGGTTATTTTCTAAATTCTGGGGGTTTGCTGAATATTAATCTAAAATCAGATATGCAAATTCAAAATGGTGGATCCAATATGGCAAACAAAATTTAAAAATTAAACAAATTTGCTTGAAAATTGTCTCTCGGGGGTTTTTGGGATCGCTGATTACGAATCGAAAGTCAGTTTTTAAAAATTATAAAAAGAGTGGGTCTATAAATCCATATGGCGGACATTAAAAGTTACGAATTTGGAAACACTCTCCTCTATTTTAAAACGGGCTTGGGACCGGCAATTGCATAGTTTCATTTCTTTTCTTTTAATTTTTTTTTAATGTTTTTATTAAATTTTTTAACACTTTTATTAATTTTTTTTATTTATTGAATATTTTTATATTTGTCGTAACAAACGACAAAAAATAAGTGACGAAACATAAAAGACTAACGACAAAAAAACAAAAGACAATCAAGAGAAAACAAAGGGACAATGACAAACGACAAAAAAACAGTACTTCTCTCCTATTTTTAATATTATTGTTGTTATAGTCGTAGCATCAGATTCGCCATTTAAAAATTTTGTAAGAATGATTCCAGATTTGTATTTTCACACCCCGCAAACTTCCAAGAAGCAGCATTCAGTCCTATATTGTCCATTTTTTATTTTTGACTATCATATTGTATCCATTATTTTATAGATAGAAAAACTGACTTCAGATTCGTAATCTGTGATCTAGAAAAAACCTAAGCTGTAATTTTCAAGAAATTTGATGGTTTTTTATTTCTTCGTCCAATATATTGAATCCTCCATTTATAATTTTGATAAACTGACTTCCGATTCAGAATCAGCGACTTCAAAAACATCCAAATGCCAACTTTTAAGCAAATTTGTTTAATTTTTATTTTTTTTTTGTCCGCCATATTGGATCTGCCATTTTGAATTTTGAAAAACTGACTCCAGATTCGTAATCAGCGACCTTAAAAACCCCTGAGTGATAATTTCAAGTAAAATTAAATAATTTTTAATTTTATAGTCCGCCATATTGACTCCGACATTTTGAATTTTCAAAATTTTGAAAATCTGATTCTAGATTCGTAATCAGCGACCCCGAAAACCATAGGTATTATACCTATTGTAGATATTTTTCAATTGCCCTAATTATGGGACTGAAAGGGTTAAGCGAATCCAATAATTTTTTAAAATAGTTTTATTTACGGACAGTGTCAGTCAATGTTTATGCTTGACAACTGTTAAAAAAAATTTTTGACATGGTTAAAGCTTTAATATCACTCCTATGACAAGTCTCTAGCACGTCGAATTTACCTGATAGAAATTTTCAAAAACTGCGAAGAACATGATTTTTGGGAATTCCCCCACTTTTCTCAAAATTCCGACGTGATGGGTGGTTTTCGTTACCAGATTTGGATTCATCGCACAAAATACTGCGGGAAATTGCTTCTCGATCTCAGACAACGGAAACTTTTATTTTCATGCAGGCTTGTGTAATTTGTAACAATCTATCTATTAAATAAATAAGTAGAAAAAATTTAATTTAAGAACATTGAAAACCTAACCTGAAATAATTGCTGGCAAATACTAATATAGTAAATAGGAAAAAAACCATAAAGTGACATATAACCATTTTAATTGATTTTAGTAAGAGCTATGTAGAAACATTTTAAAAATGGATATTTAAGTTAAATCATTTAACCCTTAGTATAAATTGTTAGGTTTACAAGAAACGTTAACTATTATCTGCTAATACAAGTCTTCATTTAAGTTTTAAATCAATTCAAACAATTTTTTATGCTTTGGATAGTCAAGAAATAATTATCTATAAAGATATGCTGAAACATAAATAATATGTAATTAATAACTAAAAAGGTAATTAATAACTTATTCAAGAATTTAGTGAACAATTCTATAAATTCCTATTTTATTTACAGGGTTGAAGATACGGAAACACTTGTGGATGCAATTAAGAAGGACAATATCGAGCCATACGCAATAAATGTATGTCTAATTTTAGTTTTTCCTTACTCAGAGACCTTTTGTTCTGCAGGAGACTTTCGATACGCTCTTGCTGACTATTTTTTTGTCAGCTATGAAACTATACTTTTGGGCTGCTGTGGTTCAATTGAGGGTACAGCGAGTCAGAGGCTGCGTAAGGGGACAAAGAAAATACTGCCTGTCCCCTTTATTGCACGTGAGCTCTCAATTTTGGGCGTGTGAATAAAGATAGCGTTCCTAGGAATTTTGTCGACCAGTGTTTTTATCATGTGACTGTTCAAAATGAAGGTAAGCATTTCACAGAAGTAGTAGCTACTACTTCTGTGAAATGCTTACCTTCATTTTGAACAGTCACATGATAAAAACACTGGTCGACAAAATTAATGTTTTTTTTGTCGTTGATTACGAATCTGTAAGTGAAATTACTCCATCACGTATCAATTTTGAAAAAAACGGGGTCAAAGTGTCAAAAAATGTTGGCACTTTTTGAAGCACTACAAAAAAAGAACGCGACGTGATAAAAAGCTCAAATTATAGCATAAGTGAGAGATCGAACCCTCAACTTTAACATCCAAAAGCAATAAACCATTTAGAAATAACTCAACATTGTGGGGAACAACTTTTTACCGCGTGCGCCTCCAACAGATAATATTTTACCGTTCATATAGGGCATATTGGTAAAAAGTTGTTCCCCACAATTTTGAGTTATTTTAAATAGTTTATTGCTTTTAGATGTTAAAGTTGAGGGTTCGAGCTCTCACTTAAGCCATATTTGAGCTTTTTATCACGTCGCGTTCTTTTTTTATAGTGTTTCAAAAAGTGCCATTTTTTGACATTTTGACCTTGTTTTTCTCAAAATTGAGACGCGATGATCACAATCGTTTATTCTTGTAGCAAAATTTTGTCGAACAGTGAAATTAGTCTGCAGTGCACCAAAACTATAATAGATCTGCTGTCACCTATGTAGTTTGGCAGCAGTCCAAAAGGTTTCTCAGTGCTTGATAAACAATTCTGACCTCATAATTAAAAAATTAAAAATGTCGATTTTTTTTAATTAATGCAGAATTTTTTACAATTTTGAATATAAGGGTTTTTATTTCCATTGAATTTTGATCTGATTTTAAAATTGGAAAGATAAAAATTTGTATAAAAGGGTTCTTTGGTATCATGAAAATATATATGTTTAATTTTTACGAATTTAAACGAGATATTAGAGTAAAAAGCTAGAATATTGGTGTCGTACACCCAGGGTGCGCTGTAAGGGTCAAATTAATATTTAATCGTGCCTGTAAAGTTATAAAAACAGATCTTGGTAAATTTACACTAAAATCGTCAAAAATCAAAATTTTTTTATGCGATTATTCTACTTCTCTTCAGGAATGTTCACATAACTACTGTAACTAATCTCACATGCTTTTTACATTTTTTGAACGACTGCATACAAATGGGCCAACAAGTTGATACAATATATATGGATCTTTCAAAAGCGTTTAACAGTATCAATCATGATATTTTGGCGGAGAAGCTCGACACACTGCAGTTACCTTTTAACTTTAAAATTACTCTTTTAAACTACCTCAATGATAGATCGCACCGGGTCTCAATTGGAAATTTCAGATCTAAAATTTTTATTCCTGATCGTGGGGTGCCACAGGGTTCATCCTTTGGATCCCCACTTTTCGGAATTTATATTAATGATATAACAAATGTTGTCAAATCATACATTTTAATTTATGCCGATGATCTGATAATTTACCGATCTATTCTCTCACCTGAAGATAATCTGCAGCTTCAGTCTTATCTTGACTGCGTGAGGGACTGGTGTTTGACCAATAAACTTTCTATTAATTTTAAAAAATTTCACGTCATATCTTTTTATAGAGGTAAAGCACCAGTCCTTTACGATTACAAGTTGGCTGATGTGTCTTTGGAACGTGTTTTTTCTACTTGCGATCTTGGTGTGACTTTTTCTTCTAACCTAACATTTAATGAACATATCACTAATACGGTTTCTGCTGCGGCGAGTGCTCTGGGGTACCTAATTCGTTCTTCGGGGCACTGGGCTGAACCTAGTACATATCGATTATTATTGTTTAACACATTTATTCGTTCACGAACAGAGTATGCAAGGATAATCTGGAATCCCTACTACGATAAATATAATAAAGAAATTGAGTCGATTCAAGAAAGGTTTTTAAAATATATGGCTTTTAAGAAGGATGGTATATATCCTAACCGAGGTTGCGACTATTTACTATTATGTCAGCGTTTTGGTTTCATGACGCTAGCTGAACGCCATTTAATAACTGCGGCCACCTTTTTGTTTAAAATTATTAGGTCTTAACCCAAGCAGCACGTAAGCTTATCTTGACATCACTGTAATATTACATTGGAGATTCGTCATATTAAACTTTAATATTACAGTGATCTTACTGGGATATCAAAATGTCCGCCTGGAGGTAATACTACGTTGTTATATTAAGAGAATGTTACCTGGTAATATTAAGGTAATATTACACTGTAATATTAACGTAATGTTAAGGTAATATTCAGATAAAATTAGAATAATTTTATAATTTTGAAAAAAACATTTCACAAAGCTGGACTCGAACCCTGAACCATGTGCATAGTAATCATGAGTCTTACCACTGAGCCAAACTTACTTGTAGTCTATTAAGATTCTCAACGGTATATAATCTTTGTAAGTTTTTTAAAGTTCTTCATATTTCATCAAAAATCTTAATACACTATAAGTACGTTTGGCTCAGTGGTAAGACTCTTGATTACTGTGCACAAGGTTCAGGGTTCAAGTCCAGCTTTGTGAAATGTTTTTTTCAAAATTATAAAATTATTCTAATTTTATCTGAATATTACCTTAACATTACGTTAATATTACAGTGTAATATTACCTTAATATTACCAGGTAACATTCTCTTAATATAACAACGTAGTATTACCTCCAGGCGGACATTTTGATATCCCAGTAAGATCACTGTAATATTAAAGTGTAATATGACGAATCTCCAATGTAATATTACAGTGATGTCAAGATAAGCTTACGTGCTGCTTGGGAAGTCGATTGTCCGTAATTACTGAGAGAAATTTTTTTTAGAGTTCCGAGGTTGTCTTCAAGAAATGTTGAACCTTTTTATCAATTAAACAAACAAAATATTGTCTCTTCGACTTCTCCTATAGTATTTGCGTGTTACCATGTTAACAGAATGTTTGACAATATGCGTACGGATTTGGATCTTTTTTTCTCTAATCAGTCAGCATTTTTGAGATGTTTAGTGCAATACACAGAGAATTTGCGATAATACACTAATATAATTTTTTTTTATATACACACTTTTTGTATTCCTTAGTAACCCATTTATGGTCTTTTGACCGCAGGGACATTGTAAATAAATAAATAAATAACAACATATACAATTAATTATTTATAAAAACTTTCAAATTCTATATTTTTTAGGACCTCAAAGTGAGCTAAAATTAATAATTTTTGGTCAAAATTTATAAATTTAAAAAAATAAAGAATATTTTATCTACAATTATTAAACTTATTATTTTTATGGTCCCTAAATACAAATTGGAAGAAACATTTTAAAAATTCAAAATGGCGTATCGAATATAGGATAATATAGTTGTCGGACACTTAAGGATACGATCTCATATTATGCTTTTTTTCTTGAAATAACAAATAGCTACTGTTTTTAAGTACATTATTAATTAAATGAGTTTTTAAGGATTAAAAATCTTATAAATTTATTACAAATACTTGAGTATTTAATAAGTTATAAGCATTTTAATAAAAAATCACGAAAGCTGACCAGTGCATAAGAGCTATTAGACAGAGTTCGAAATTTGAGCAGTAAATGCAGACACATCATTCTCATCGAGTATCACTAATGACCCATTTGTACCGTAGGCGTAGTGAATAAAATTTTTAATTTACAATATCACGAGTGGGTTTTTTCCACAAAGATGTTATACACATCTTTAATGGCTTCGCGTCAAGAAACGTTTCACTTTTTTAAATTTCGCCCTATTTTCAAGAAGAATAATCACGTAATTTTCATTGAGACTCTGTTTAGTACAATCCAAGTCATCATTCAAATAATATTCTTCAACAAGTTTAATTTGCTCTTCAGAAATTGGATGACCATTATAAGGGTCAGGTGAAAAATAAATTCCCTTATTTTTTCTTAATTTCCGTGATTCATCTGCAGGAAGTTTGAAGATTATTTCATTTTTTGACAGCTGATTTGTAAGAAGACGAACTTTTTTAGACTGTGTTTGCCAATTCTCTAAACCTAGTTAATGTTATCAAGAAAATGTTTGTTCAAATTGTCGTTAAGCATTTGCAAAGGCCAACCTTGACTATGTTCCCCTACACGGAAAGAAATCTGCTAGTATTATACCATTGGGCGGCCAATAGACTTATACCATCTGAGGCCACCACTACTTTTCAGGCCGAGTAGATGGAATTAGTCCATCTCTGCGTAGAATATTAGTATGCAGCGATGGACTAATAGCATCTACTCGGCCTGAAAAGTAGTGGTGGGGGTCCGATGAAATAAGTCCATTGGCCGCCCAATGGTATAATACTAGCAGATTTCTTTCCGTGTATAAATAACAAAATAAATGAATTAACACGAATTCCTAAGGAAAAAAGTATAATAGAATAATTTATTCTAACACATTTCAAGTTAAAGTGAATACGTATTCTTATTAACCATATTAACAAATTACGGACTGAATATTTAAATAAAAATTTTATTTCGTATTGCAAAATAAAATTCCAATTTTCTAATTTGTCTGTTTCGACTTTTTCTTTCCTAATTTTAGATGTCAAAAACGTAGTGAAACATTAGGGGTTATGCTTCTCCAGAATTGCTTTACTACTGGTGTACTACTGGCCCGGACAGAAAATCCTTACTAACCATTACTGATCTATTATCAGTACTAAGCCCAAGTCAGAGCCCATACGCCTATAGTTAATT